AAATAAACGTATGACAAAAGTGGCACCTGCTCAGTAAAACCACCAACAGGGTGAAAAATACCAAAAATTGAAGGCAGAGACGGGCTACAGCTTCTGGATCCACTTTATATAAATCGTTGTATTGATTATCGTCTTATGAAAGACAACTTTGACGTACACGAGCGACCGGTATTGACTGCTGTCACCTGTTGTGAGCAGCTCTCTGCTGTCTGAGGGTAGGCCCAGCCCACAACGCCGTGGCTGCTGTGGCCCCCAGTGTTTTCTTTACTGTGGGAAACGGGTAATAATGGCTCTTTGATGGGAACAGGTTGCCGACCCCTGGTTTAAGTGTTTCAATTTTTTTTATGAATTCGATTAAAAATAAAGGCGCCCGTCCCGGCCCGTGTCCGAAGTAATTACACAGTCGTTGGCCCGAAGGCCTAGGGCCGGGCTGACCCGAGGACCTAGGGCTTCAGTACAGGGCTCTAAATAAGGAAAGGTGCTAATTAGCCACCGCCACCGCAGGAATGCATGCTGTTAACACGAGATATAAATCTAAACTATTTTATCTTTTAGATTACGTGTGTATCATTTGCATTCAGTGATTGTGGCTGCGCTGTAGTAGCTGTGTTTTCGCTTTGAATAAATGCTGCAAACAAAAAAAAAAAGCTTTGTAAACATAATAGTTATGTGCCTTAAAGTTCCAACTACCTTTTTCTTCCTATGATCCAACAGTCAACCTAATGATATTGTTTCTTAAACACTTTAATATACCTAATATTGACATTACTGTACAACAATGAAGGTCACGTGGATTCAGAGTTATTTCTTCGTGAATGTCAGGCATGTTGTGTCTCTTTCAGTCTACATTTCAGACGCTCCCTGAACGCATCATTCTGGTGACGCATAGAGGAATGAAACCGAAAGTGAAGAAACGAACATTAATCTGGGAAATTAAACCAAAGCTCAGAGTCTGATCTCCTGTTCTCTTCTAAACATTACTACAGCATTAGACATGGACCATCACGGAGAGACAGGGACGATGATCAGGGTGTTAGTGTTTTGCTTCAATGGTCAGAAGATACTAGACTTGTGTCACCATGAGGACCTTCAGACCGTGACTGTGCTGCAGCTGAAGGAGAAGATAGATGAAAAGTTTCAGTGGTCTTTAAGTATGACTTTAAAAAAGAAATGTGTGTGTTTGTGCGTGCGTATGTGCGTCAGCGTTCATGTGTGCGTGCGTGCACGGGCGTGTGTGTATAGCAATCAGGCTGATGATTCTTCTGTTTATTTGTTAGACTCGTGGCGAAACATCAGGTTGATTTGTTCGAACAAAAACTTGGACGAAGACTCCAAACGGCTGTGTGAATATTGAGTTGGACACATGTCTGTCATATGGGTGGTCATCAGCCTGTCTGGTGGAGGAGGTCCTGACTTGATGGCTGACAAGGAGGGTGAAACTCGAAAAAGTATGGAGAATATTCATTTACGTAACTTTTAAAACACGGACAACTACAGGATGTCATGCAGATAAACAGTCGTCAGCATGGAAAAGCAACCATTTATACTCCCAATTATTATGTAAAGCTGTAAATGTCATTTCTAGCTTCCTTCCGCGTGTATCTGCTGCAGAATGTGGGCGTGAACACGCTTTAGTTACACTTTTGATCCTTTACTAAAAGTCAAAACAGGATCATGTTGCTGTGTCTCTGTTGTGGTAAACGAAGTGATGAAATGCATTTTATTAGCATTCTTGTTTGGCAACAGTAACAGAATTAAATCTTGTGTATTTTTTCTGTTTGTAAACCAACTAAAAACAAATGAGATTTAATCAGTAAAACAGTGGTTTTAGCACGAGCTCACTGTAACTAACGTGTTCAGAAAGGGCTCTGTTAGATGTAAGATCAGTGCTGGACTGACCATAGGGCATAGCGGGCAACTGCCCGCTGGGCCGACCCTTTCATCTTTTATGGGCCGGTGTCTGTTTTTTTTTTTTTTTCCTGGCCTCTAGTTGTTGCGGACAACTTACCCGCGCCGCCCCACGCGACGCCTCGTAAAAGTTGGTGGATTGGCCAATTGGTAATAATACACTCTGGGCTGGACCAATAGCCAGAGGTCTGATGCACCCGCCAGTTGTTTGTGAATCTCAGTAAACAGACAGACGAGCTTAACAAAATGGAGAACAAAAAACGGAAAGGAGAAGCGGAGAAAATTCGACTAAAAAAGAAACTGGCCCTTCAGGCTGATGCTGGCACATGTGTTAAAATCTCACAGTTGTTTGGTAGTGAAGGTTCAAGTAAAATCAATTTAGGAAGTGATGGAGCCTCAGCCCAGCGACAGGTTGGAGAAGAAAAGAGGGAGGAGGAGGAGAAACCCGAGCCGGTGTTGTGCCATAAATTGACTCGCTGCCAAAAAATGATTAGCCACCGCGGGATCGCGCACGGTTAGGCAATTGCATTTCTAGACAAAATTCCCCAGGATTTCGCCCTAAAACTCAGCATATCTAGCAATATGGACATTCAGAAAGCAAAGATAACCTCTTCCGGTACTTAAACAGATGTTTATCGCGGATATTAGTGTGGCAGTGTTTGTGGCACCCTGCGCGGGAGCACGAGGACGTGCTTGTGGAAAGAGGGAGGAAGATGTGGCAGTGTGAGCATCCACAATGTCCCGATAGATTGTGCGCCCTGGCTATTTGACCAAGGAGAAGTCCCTTTGGCTGACTGGTTAAAGCGTATGACTCTCACCTGGGAGTCTGGGGATCGAATCCCGCCTGGGTACTCCTTTCTGAACCTTGCCACATTAGTTTTTCCAGTTCGGAAGTTGTTTTAAGTGTTGCTATTTGTCTTAAACGTTCACAATGAGGATATATTAATCCTTTTTGCAATATTTGCGATTGAAAGATGGTTTGTGCCACAAACTTTGTGGTAAGAACTGGCTTTCTTTATGTTACAGCCTTGATACTAAAAAAATAAATAAACAATGTAAAATGGCACCCTGTATTGAATGTAAACGTTGTATAAATGGAAATAAACAATTCTCCAGCTATTTAATTTTTTCCCCTTCCTTTCTTTAGTCCACTTGACATGGAGCCACAGTTAACTAGTTTGGGGCACATTTTTACTTGAAAAAAAGTATTTAAAATGATCAAGCTTTGGCTTTACAATGACACTGTGTAGGTTGCTACGTTGCTCTATTTAAAAGTAACAAGATAAAAGCACTTCAGCACATAAAATTAAGATTGTCACTTGCCAAATAGACTACACCCTCCCGTTTACCTATAAGAAATGCCTCAAAATATCTTTAAATTCTTTATTGATGATTTAATTGTAGACAACTAAAATGACATTTTACTTGCCAAAAAGTGATTGAATCGCTAAGATTTTCATGGAGGCTAAAATTGACCAAATAAGGGTTTTATGTATTATCTGTTGATGTTACTGTACTCATACTGCCTACTGTGTCATCAAAAACACCCCAAAAATGGCACAAAAAAAGAAGATAATTTCCCTTGCCAAAAATTGATTACAGTGTCCTGGTCACCTGTAAAGGGTTACATTTACCTAAATATTACTTTATTTATTATCTCTTGATGTTATTAGTGCCATCACAGGATGCCGGTGTCTTTCACATTCATAAACACCTCAAAAATGGCAACAAATGATCATTTCCCTTGCCAAAAATTGATTACAGTGTCCTGGTCACGTGTAAAGGGTTAAATTGACCTAAATATTACCTTATTTATTATCTCTTGATGTTATTAGTGCCATCACAGGATGCTGGGTGTCTTCCACATTCATAAACACAGAGTCCTGGTCACCCATAAAGGCTTAAATTGGCATAAATATTACTTCATTTATTATGATGCTGGGTGTGTTCCACAATCATATTCAAATAAACGTGAAAATACTCTGTCCGAATATCTGTTTCTTGTTATAAATATAACAGCTAGAAGGATTTACAGTTAAAATAGGAGAAACACGTGACTCCCCAGGAAGGGTCGTAACACCACTTGCCTCATGCACATAAGTGAACAAAACAAAGCAGCATGGAGACACTCCGTCTCCAACCACCTCTCAGGCAGCAGCCTGCACTCCCAAGTTCTACACGTCACCAGAACATAACCAACTGCAACACAATAAAAGCAGTGTTATACAAAATGGAAGGCCTGTAGTGTTTATTCTCTTACAGTAACAACTTATCAATTTTTTGGAGGAATTTATTTGAGAATTTTTTGGTTTTTATTAATTGTGCAATAGAAAAGTAATCGCTAGATTAATCATCTAAATAGTCATTAGAATAGTCGACTATTCGATAAAATAATCGTCAGAATAATCATTTAAAAAATAATCAGTTACCCCCAACCCTACTTTTTAGAATACCAGGATAGGAAGGATGGTGTAGGTTTACATTTATTAGATTGATACATAAATACTACCAATAAGAAAGTGTACGTTGGTGTGTGTCAGAAACAGCATAAGGCTTAATGTCTTTTCCAAAAAAAACAGGTGATGGGCCGGTCTCCAGTCAAAATGCCCGGGCTGAATTTTTGTCCCAGTCCAGCCCTGTGTAAGATGACAGTGTTTGTAACATTAAATCACTTTTTCTGATCATGGCTACAGACTTATTGTTCAGTGTTACTGTGGCAAGGTGGAGAAACAAGGGCTCAGGCGGGATTCGATTCCCAGATGCCCGGGTGAGAGTCATGCACACTAACCGGTCAGCCAAAGGCACATCCCCTTGGCCAAGTAGCCAGGGCGCATGATCAATCAGGACATTGTGACAGGACTCTCACACTGTCACGTCTGGGCGTCCACCACAGCACAATAATGCAGAGGGAGGTCACATCATAATTTATTCTTACGTCATTCAAAACTCTTAACAGGGCCGTCTCAGTGCTGTGGTTTACTCTAAAACCAGACTGAAATTTCTCTACGACATTGTGTGCATTAATAAAATCATTAAGCTGTATTAAAACAAGCTTTTCTAAAATTTCTCTTAAGAATGGTAAGTTAGATATCGGTCTGAAGTTGTTAAAATCACTAAAAATCTAAGTTTCTTTTCTTCAACAGGGGCCTCACCACTGCCCCTTTAAAGGCAGCAGGAAAGACCCCTGTTTGAAGAGAACAGTTCATCATGGTTAAAATCTCATCTCTAAAGTATTCATAAAATGGTTTAAAAAGCGAAGTAGGAACTGGATCTAAAAGACATGTGGTGGGCCTTACTGAAGAGAAACCCTTATCTCATCCTCCAGCCAGCCCCTTCTGAAGGGTCTTAATGGTGATGTTAAGTTCTGGATGCCTCTGGACTCTCTTGAGTTTTAAACAAAAGAAAACTGGTTATTTAACTCAGCCCCAGCAGTACCTCACACTCCCCACTTACCTGCAGCTGTTGAGGCATTTGTTAAGAATTAAGTTATAATTCTGGATGTAATTATTACACCTTTATCATGAGTTAATTAACAGACAACAGCAGGCTAGATCATAATAAATTAGTTCTGTTCTTTGTCTGCTGGATAATTCTGCAATGCAGATCTGATTCAAAATTCTTGTTGCTATAGGTGTGTAAATGGTCTTGTTATCCTTTAGCTTTCTAAATACAGTTCCTGTTTATAGTTGGGGTTGTAGCTGCTGTACTTCTTATAATTAGACCAGAGACCAAACACAGATTTTGTTTAAAATACATATTTATTAACTTTAACTGAAGCAGAATCAGGTTCAATGAAGCAGGCTGATGTTTTCAAAGAATAACGATTCCATAAAAGAACAGAAAACAGTGAACAACAAGGTCGGCATCCTTCATAACTGGAGAAATAAATGCAAGTGAAAAGTTTTAGTTTCTTTTCCACACAGGTATGGATGTTTGTCTGGGAGCCACACCATCACTGCAGGGGATGAAGTAGGAACTGGTCTCCAGACACACAGGAGTGATTTTCAGACACACAAAGCAGAACTCCACCTGACAGCGAGGACAGATGACGTTCTTGCAGCCCGTCTTGTCGTGCTCCACCTTATGACCACAGGTGGGACAGGCCCGGATGGAGGGAACAGGATCAGCTCCCTGCACATCACGGAGGGTGGTGGTCTTACAGGTCCTGAGCAGTTCCAGGTCTTGGTTGATGCAGCCATCATTGTCACAGCGGTCAGAGCGTGGAACTGCACCTTTCCACGTCCTCAAACACTGCCAGCAGAACTGGAACGTGTCCTTTTTATCTGCTTCACACACTAAACACTCCACACAGAGGTTGGTCAGGTCCTCTCTCTCCACGTAGGACTTACAACCAGGACACTGTCACACATGAAAACAATGACAAACTGTTGGACTTTTTAACAGTTGTTGGGGATTTGAACTCAAAAACACTTACTGTGGTAAAGTCACAGAACTCTGCAGGAGCCATGCGAGCCATGTTCTCCTCAAAGTGCTGCATTTCATCAACTGTGAGGGCTGCAAGCCGGCGCACTTCCTGGTACGACCACTCAGCGTTACACAGCTGCTGGGTTTCAACCACAAAGGCAGGACACTTGAACTTATGCTGGCCCTGAAAATATACAACATGAATAAACTGGGTTTAAACATGCAATTAGAGATATTTTATGGACAGGTTCAAGAATGGAAGTTATGAATGAAATAAAATCATAAATACTGTAGCAAATTTTGTACAATTTGTTTTTATTAATTCATGGTAGTGTTGTTGCCTATTTTATGTATTATTTACATTACAACTCTTATATTCTAAAGCAATGGTTCCCAAACGTATTTAGCCGCGCACCCCCCTTCTATGTCTCGACCATGTCAACCCCCCCCCCCCCCCCCCCAGCCCCCACATCAGTGCATGGCTATACATACATATATATATATATATATGTATATATATATATATATATATATATATATATATATATATATATATATATATATATATATATATATACATACATCAGACGTCAAGCTAAACAGTCACTCGACAGACAGGGTTAAAAAATATGATCGACCTTTTTCCCCATCACTTTCATTTTTGAAATAGTAATTAATAAACATTCAATACCATTACAATTTCCTTTGATTTAATTTTAATTAAATATTTAGAGTGCCCAGGTAGCGCATCAACAATGCAATTTAATGGTTTTCTTAAAGCAGGAACGTTTAACCAGAGCTCTCTCCTTCCTTCTGCTCTGCGTGAACCTGAACTGGTCACCTACTTGTGCGTAATCAAATGTCAATAGGGGAAAAGATGGAAAAGCTATAGCCATGAGGTTCACTTTTGCCTCAGACCGACTTATTGCTGTTTTATGGTGTGGCTGAATCTGCGATCCGCTGCCACGCGGACTGGAATAACAAATGCTGCAGTAACATGAGTTGTAGTCAGGTTCATGAGGAGTCACTGGCTGGAGCGGACTCGAATTTAATACGTCATCCCAAAATAGAAGCTATATTTTAATTTGACCTTGAATGAAAAATGTTGTTATAAAACCTCTTAAAAGTTTTTATCACGGAGGAGGCAGTGCTCATTTCTGCCTTCAGTCTGACGGCGCAGCGCAGCACCGGAGTTTGTGCAGCGTGCGCTTATTTAATCTGTGTGTGTGTGTGTGTGTGTGCGGCACAGCTCCATGAGCCGCTCCAGTCACCGCGTCTCGTTATTGGCGCTATTTAAACCAATGTTGTAAAATTACTTCTGCCCAGCCCAGATGTGCTCACATGTGCACCCGTGAGCCGTGGTTCTGCTGGAACGCGTCTGACCTCTGACAGAAGCACTCTGAACTTCAGATCTTCAGGGCGCTTTTATAGCCTCACACGTTTAGAATGCTGTCCCACAGTCAGTGTGCTAATATAATAATATAATAATGCTAAAATGCTCAGATGGGAATCATTTCTTGATTTATTTTGTTACATCCACAATGTTCTGTGTGTGAGGTTTACAATGTCAGAACACCTGCATGAGACAGGGTGTTAATTACAATCTGCCAGAATGACTCGCCACCTTCAGATTTCTCCAACACCGATAAAAATGATCAAATACAGAACACATCTTGCTATTAACAGCGTGCGCAGGTCAGTGCGCTGAAGCTTGGTGCATTATTATTATGAAGCTAGGGCACATGTGGAGGACACACACACACGCAAAATATACTACGCTAATGGTGACATATGACAGACTTCTCTGAGTCAGCAGCCATTACACTTTTCACCTCGCGCACCCCCGAGCGGCAGCTCTCGCACCCCCAGGGGTGTGCGTACCACACTTAGAGAATCCCTGTAATCTAAAGGATTTATTAGTCCCATCTATCACCGTTCTGCCACATGTAAAGGATGGGTAGTTTACATCTTACTTATGAACCATAAAATGTGAGATTCCATAGAAATATCAATCTGATGGATCTTTGAATATTTTAACCAGAATATCAGAACTTTTTATTGCAGGGATTAAGTGCCACTTCATATTAACTCCAAGGTGTAATGGAATGAAATGACTGTTTTCCACCTAAAAGTCATTTCCCCCCTCCCCTCAGCAAGAACTAATCTGCATGAGATATTGTTCAATGTCTCATGCATTTGCTTCTAAACTGTTGTCCTTTCCAGCCCAAGAGAAGAATGAAGACAAAGGACTCTTTCTTTTTAATAAATCAAAGAACTCTATTTTTAATAAGCTAATCAAACAAAGTGTTAGTCAATAATAAAATGTGAACCAATTTGTGAAATGAAAATATTAATTACTTAATATTATAATCCTATAGAATATAATAAGCATTATAACTTTAAATGTTTCCACTAGAGACTGATCACGTGTAACGTTAAGCCACATGACACATTGCTTTTACTGATCCAATCAGGATCTGCCAGATCTGACGGAGGCGTGGTTTTGGTGGTGCTTGGTAAATCTGTCATCTTTCCATTCGACGGTAAATCAAAACATCCGAATTATAAAACTATGCCCACGTCATCTTTAACGCCAGTTCAAAGCATTCTAAAGAAGTTGTCGGAGTGGCCAAGCCGTAACTTTCCTCTTCAGCCGAAAGAACCAACGACAAGCTGGATAAAATCTGTTGCTGTTCCAACTGCTGCAACAGTTCCTTTCAGAATAAAAGCTGAACCATCACGACCCCGTTTTGGGTCTTGCTCGATGCCAACATTACTGTCGTGACCCGGAAGTATCTCAAGACTGGTCTGGTCGGCAACCACTGCTTTTCCTACCGGCTTCAGTTCCAGAGAGGGTCAAGCTGGACCTCGACATTCCTGATCTAAAGGGGACTTCCGAAAGGGTACGTAGGCCGACGAAATGGCGTCTCAATGTGTTTATGAATCTCCAAATCAAAGCTTAGCGCAAAGACATCACCTTCACTCCCATCAGAACTAATCGTTTCTCCGGATTTGCTGGTTCTGAACAACATTCCACACTACACCATTCTCCGTCTCACTTCACCTAAGTTACAGCATACGTTTAGTGTTTAAAGTTAGTCTAGTTTTAATTTGTTTAGTAATAAATCTTTAAACTTTTTAAACTTGACTCTCTTTCTTTTGTCTCTCAGTTAATACTAAGTTGTTACATAATCCATGCAATAAAAAGTTCCAAACTTCTGGTTAAAAGTACCCAAAGATCCATAAGATTGATTTCATATTTATTATGGATTCTCATGTCCTATGGTTAAATTAAATTTTTAGAAAGGAAAGAGAGAGAGTCAGGTTTAAAATAGTTAAGAAATTTATTTCTACACAATTTAAACAAGACTACCTTTAAACACTCTGTGTACTGATGGACTAAGGTGGAGTGAGACGTTCGATGATGGTGTGTGTGGAATGTTATTATCAGAACCAGCGGATCCAGACAAGCATTTAGTTCTGAGTGGGAGTGAATGTTTCGCTTTAAACTTTAGTAGGAGATTTATAACACACATGAAACACAGTCTGTCGGTCTACGTACCCCAGGGGAAGCCTCCGTTAGATCCAGAATGCCGAGGTCCTCTTGGACCCTCCTTGGTACCGAAGCCGGTAGAAAAGCAGCGGTGCCGACCAAACTAGTCTTGGA